ACATACATCTTAGACCTGCAGACATCCCGGAAATTTTATGGTTTGAAGAAGAAAATGAAATTATCCGAAATTGTGCAGCACTTTCTTCAGCGGCAGGCCTTCAGAAAAGTTTCAGCACAAGCGACATTAGTCAGTTACCTTCTCCTGATGAGACTCCTGTCGTACCCGGATTCAGAAACGCGATATCTGAACTGGCCTTGAATTCCCTCCAAAGATCCGGATTCCTTATGGACAATCTCAAACTGGACCACACGTCAAGGTCGTGTTCTACGTGGGTCGCTGTGGGAGACATGGCCTCCACTTCTCAGCTTCCCTCTCCCCATGGGGGACACTCCACAACAACAATACCTCCGTCGAATACACCTCCCCCGCCGGCTTTTACAGCGGCAGACTTTATACGCTCAGTAAATAAGAAGGTAATCAATTAAATATTTAATAAATTAATGAGCATTGACTAATCGAGATCAATTATTAATGTGGGAACCCAAACTATCTTGCCTATCTTTTGCTGACTTTCATAACAACCTTTGTTCTCCTACCACTTTTTTAACCTTTTCTATCTACAGTATTTTCATTATCCTCTTATAGCATCACATCTTAAACGCTTCTAACATTTGTTTTTCCCAAAATTTTACAGAGCTATTATCCAAACGTTAACTTTTATTAATCTTCTTTATATATATAATGCCACATGTGGCCAGAAAATTCATTTATAACATTTGTCCAGATGTATCATTATCTAAAAAAATCCCCAAAAACTTAAAAAAAGAACACCCATGACAAAGTTTTTGAATAGGTACCTAATTAATATGGTAAACTTTAAACGACGCCGTGTATAGCATGATGTGTGGGAAGACAGTTTCGCATTCTAGCAATTAATACACAATGAACAATTAACGTCTTGATTAACTACTACGTAAGATAAATCAGGAATTATTATTTCTTTTACAATACTTGGTTCATTTTATTGGTAGTAAAATGGTTGCAGCATCCATATAGAAATTACTTAATACTTTTTCGTTATAATTAAAGTATTGTTGCATGATTACTACAAACGGGTGAAATAGGGGATGAATTTTTTGAATTTTGTAAAACACACGGCGCCGCTTTACGCACAACGGTCAAGTTAAGTTCTATATAGCGCAAGTTAATATTGATTTGTTTTCGTGTGTGGGATCTTGGTCGAAAAATAGCGTTAGCAAAATGTACCGCAAAACGGGGTTGTTTTACCGGGGGTTGTAACGTGATTAATACACCCGTGTAGAGAATGACGTCGACTGAGAATCCATCGTCGTGTGACCTATTGACACCTCAAACGCCTGTTTTGTCCGTTTCATGCAAGATTCTGAGGTCACCCTCCCATGAATCGGTCACCACTGACTTGTCCCTGTTTTCCGTGTCGTCGATAGCCTCTGACCTCCACGGACGGAAATTGTTGTGTTTTAATAAAGATGGTAGAGGACCGAGCCCCAATCCTGACAGCAGAAGCAATATTTCATCGACAAGGTGATTTTTATTTTATTTCTTTTGGAAAAATCACGCGATCAAGGACCTTCTATTAACGCATCTGCTCTAGTTTTGTATGCATGCGTGTTATCCAGGTTTGTGGGTTATTATTACAAGACAATTTACTGCCGCTATTTTGCAGTACACAAGTTGCAAAATACATGGTGCAGTAAACTGAATCAAAAGTAATTGTGTAGTAATATCTTATTAATACCCTCGCCTTCATAAAATGACTTACTAAATGTTAAAAATTGTAAAAAAAACAAATTATAACTAGAAAATGACATTAAAGCATGCAAGTGTACATTTGAGAGGCCTTTATTTCGACAAATTTTCGAATTTTTATCCTCCTAGGCAGGGCTCATAGATTTAAATATTAACTTAACCCGATGTAAAGTAAAATAAAAACTGCAATCATTCAACTTCACAAAATCTCAACGTTCTACTTAATAATTCAAAATTATGCGACGTTTTTATTTAATGATGCAAAAGTATCTATTAGTTTGTCCATATCGAGAGTTTTTATGATTTTTCTCTCGATGAACATGTTTGCAGAATTACTTATCCAAGAAAATTTCATTGAGTTGCTAGGGATGGTAAAGAATTGCGTACGCGTTAGGGGAGGAAGTAAACATACAGTCTGAAACGTTTTTTACTTCTCCTTCATATGTAGATGCGTAATATATGTAGGTACTACTGAAGGCGTTTTGGGTTGTATGGAAATTAAAATCTATTACCGTGTGGCCCACTCTTGGCCCATGTAAAAAAATCTGTAAACAAAGATCAGGAACGTAGATCTTCGTTCATTGCAAACAAAACAATGCTTTATATTGTAAATGGCACTTACGAACTAGGTTGGCACTATTATTTAATTCAGATGTTTCAAGGATAAGTATCAATTCATATTAAATATTTCTACGTCCAAATAATTAAGTTTAAAATACGCGAACACTTGTTTAAGTTCAATTTCACTTTTTTGACAAAAGATAGGTCACTAGAAATATGAAGAGATGTAGTAGAAGCTACATTTCATCAGAATATTCATAATTCAAAGTCCATATCATTACTTTTATTAGCTAGCATGTATATCTACCTTAAAAAGTTATGTTGAACACTTTCAAGGCTTTCATAAATTCATTATAAGATTCTTACAGTAACTAACTCGCCAACTAATTAAAAACAACTTACCCCATTAATATAAATTGTATTAAAGTTTCATAAAATGGTTAATTAAAAATGTAACCGCATATAAACCTTCTCTTAAAATTGGCTAAGAGGAAACCAAAACTAGTGGCTCTTTCGATGTTAACAACAAAATGTGCTCATGTCAAGCAACTTTCTACGTGGTAATAATTGTTACTTACGTTATAAGAACGTTAAATATGTTCGTCAGTTTTGGCATACATTTCTACTACTACATGACCGAGAAAGTAAAGAGTAGGTCATTTAACAGAATAACGTTTATTACAATGTTATTTTAATAATTGTCCAGTATTAGTTAGGTGTATAATACAACATATAAAATTATGAAAATAAATACCTAGGCTCAAACTTCCCTAACTTGAACTTCCTAAACGCANAATGCTTTATATTGTAAATGGCACTTACGAACATACGTTAATAATAATAATCGTATTATTTGGGGGGGGGGTTATGTAGGTAACTAATGCTGACAACAGGGAGAGGAATTCAAATAAGTTAAAATATGAATTACTTTTTCAACAGTAGTAAATTGAGAAGTTCCTTATTATAAAACTACTTATGGGTAACGCCCAAAAGCTCTAGATACATAAATTGTGTATTTTTTTATATATTTATTTATTAAAGTAATGTTTGATTTAGACCTGCAGACATCCCGGAAATTTTATGGTTTGAAGAAGAAAATGAAATTATCCGAAATTGTGCAGCACTTTCTTCAGCGGCAGGCCTTCAGAAAAGTTTCAGCACAAGCGACATTAGTCAGTTACCTTCTCCTGATGAGACTCCTGTCGTACCCGGATTCAGAAACGCGATATCTGAACTGGCCTTGAATTCCCTCCAAAGATCCGGATTCCTTATGGACAATCTCAAACTGGACCACACGTCAAGGTCGTGTTCTACGTGGGTCGCTGTGGGAGACATGGCCTCCACTTCTCAGCTTCCCTCTCCCCATGGGGGACACTCCACAACAACAATACCTCCGTCGAATACACCTCCCCCGCCGGCTTTTACAGCGGCAGACTTTATACGCTCAGTAAATAAGAAGGTAATCAATTAAATATTTAATAAATTAATGAGCATTGACTAATCGAGATCAATTATTAATGTGGGAACTGAAATGTGAACTAGAACTAGAGAAATGAACTAGAAGTACCCTGTAAATTTTAATGATCAGTAATACTTTTGACAGACAGACAGACGGATGGACAAGGAATTTCCGCTTTTTTTTAAGATGCGGAACCCTAAAACCTTGACAAATTTGGACATTTTCATCTATATAAAAGAAAGTCGTGTTAGTTACACTATTTATAACTCAAGAACGGCTGAACCGATTTGGCTGAAAATTGGTAGGGAGATACCTTAGAATCAGGAGACGGGCATAGCATACTTTTTTTTATCCAGTTCCCGTGTAACAAAACGCAACTGACAAAGCGAAAAATTTATTAGTCAAAACATCAGTCTAGCCGTTCATTTGTTATAAATGGTATAACAAAAATTCAATCTCTGTTGGGGGGAGGAGTAGTGAAGAGGAGTTGCAATTTTTAAATGGAACATATATTATTTGTGGTCAGATTTACTTGAAACTTGGTCTTAATGGTCTCTCATTTAATTTCTGAAAGACTTATCTCGACATTTTAAAACATTCAACCTCAAAAGGGAGAGGGGGTAAAAAGGCGTTGCAATTTTTGTTTGGGACATACTTTATTTGTGGTTGAATTTACTTTAAACTTGGTATATATGCTGTTTGATATTAGTAATCAAATGAAAGAGGTTGCCACGTTTCCATGGGGTATATTTTGATTTATTTGTACCCGGATTTACTCGAAGGTTGCTCATTGTTGAAATTAAGCAGATACGTGTTTTGGCAATTTTTAAAAATCAACCCTTAAGGATGAAATGTTGTTGCTACGTTTGTACTTGAAATCTAAGTTCGCGACATTACATAAAATTAAAACGTTGTAAGGGTGAATTGGGAGTTTAAAGGTTTTATGGAGAAACAATATTAATTTCTGCGAGCGAAACCGCGGGGAAAAGCTAGTTTTAAATGAATGGATAATTTATTAAAATGTAACCAAAGAAGGGGGCACTTATTTATGTCCATTTTTATATGCCTCTTTATTATTCGTTCTTATGATTACAATATTATTTCTCATTTAAAAGGTTCGTCAAAATTACATTCGACGTCGATTATTGACGACATACAAAGCTCTGGAAAGATTGTGCCAAAGTGAGTTCAACTTGGACAGATTGCAAGTGTCTTTATCGTCCACGGCCGTAAGCAACAACCCCGCCAGCGGAGCCACGTTACACCCCAATAGCAGTGGAGTATTTCGTCTTACAGTTCCTGGAAGTTCGACCCCGAAATCTCCTGTTAATTGTTCGTCTTCGTCGCCTGGATCGAACGCCGAAATTATGAGGACTGTAAAACAGTCGGTCAACAAAAATCTACCACTGACCATCAGGGATGTGGAAAGGGAACGTGGGAAACCCTTATCGAAGTATGAAAGGAACATGATGATATTTAATTGGCTCCACACACTTGACGACTCCGCGTTTGCCGAGGGGGTCCAATGAACAATACGCTCACTTTTATTATTGTTATTTTCGTACAGTAATTAGTTGGTCTTTTATTTATTAANATATTTCTCTTAAAAATCAAAATATGCCACTTGTTTACATGTTGTACGCATATCACAAAATAAAACAGTACATAAATGTATAAATTCTAATGTAACTTTTATCACCAAGGTTTTTCTATATGTCTGCATGTTGATATAAAACTGGAGAATCTTCCTTGAAATCCTAACGAAATTTTAATTCTTATGTAGAAGTATTATCTCATTGTCAGAGTAAACTGTTTGAGAATATCATCATCATTATAGGTGGTGCAGTATAATTAGTATAAAGGCTTATAAAGTTGTATTTTTAGAAACAAATTGAAGGAGACTGTCGAAATCCCTATATGGAATGGCTTGAGGTAGATAAGACGTATACCACCTCGTAGTGGATTAAACCATACTTTAAACTGATTATTATGCACTTAATTCAAGTTCCCTAGGATGATGTGAACATGGTTAAAATAGGTGTGAATGAGACGTATTCGTTATCATTATTGGATTCGCCAAGCACCGATGGACTGGTATGAGCTCCAAAGTTCGAACACACCCAAGATACTATACATTACTGACAAGACGAGCGTATAGACAATTATGGTCAGTATATTTGAGGTGCTCAAACAGTTAGTTCCTATTTACATGCCAATCGTGGTAGTCTCCAATTTTTGTACGACTAGGTATTTGGCAAGGATCCTAACATAAAAAAGAATATTTAAAACAATTACTTTCCTAGATTTCTACGTCTACGTGGGTATGTAAAACTTAAAAAGGAGAATATTGTGATACTTTTTTTTCATTATTCTTATTCAAAATAGGTTTCTATTTTGTATTTTAAATCTAAATGTAAATTGAACTTGAAGCTAATAGTGGCGTTTGTACTATCACCGCCTGTTCAAAATACTGAAATTTAAGTTTTCTGTTTCAAGTGATTGAAGTATAATTTTTTATATCTTTATATTTTACTTTTCTCAGTTCAATAGCAAAAAATTCCTGAACATGTTTCCTTATGTGCATTCGGCACCTGTTTTAGTTGGAAAATACGACATAACACCGATACCGAAATGGTTTTTTTAACGTAAAAGATCAGAACCAAAACAGAGTTGTAAATAATTTTATTGATGCAATACCAACTTCAATTTTTTTATATCAAAAACATTTTTACAGCTCTATTTTGGTTTTGGACTTTTACATATTGGAATAAGGAGAAAAAATAGAACCCAAAATTTCTTTAGCTTAGGTTCATCTAATAATTAAAGTATTTGAAACCGTTTTTCAAAATCTGTAGATTATATCTATTAGTACACCACAACATCTTGTAATGTTCATATGATAATAGAATTTAAATGATTATTAAACGATAAGTAATAAAAATCATCTATTGCAAAAAATTGCTACAAATTTTAAACATTTTAAAATATTGCATTTCTCTTATATAAAAATATTTAAATTCCTAAATTTTCAATGTATGCAGTAGGCTGCAGTTATAAAAATACGTATTTATAACTTAATTAGCCATGTTACTGACAATTACAAGTAAATATATACCCAAAAATTCTAACAGGACAGTAGGACACTTTAAAAATGTTTATTTTTACAATTAACAACTACTCAACAGATATAAATACACTTAACACAAACAACTGCAGCTAAACAAGAGTTTTTATAGAATATTAGGTTTAGGTTGATATTGGAAAAGTAATTAAAAAAAAATTAAAAACACAAAACTTTACCCAAACTCTAAGCGCCATTTAAGTTAATGAGAAAAATAGAGATGAGAATCCCACACTATCGTTCTATCTCTCTTATTACTCCTGTCACAAATTTATTGCGATTTGTCCGTTTGTGGTCAATTCCAGTTACTACATAGAGTTCACTGTGCTTTTGTCATTCATAGATAATAACGTTAATAACTATCGTTCTATTATTTGAATTTTAAATTTAGTTAACCTATTTGTTTTTTACTTCATCTTTGTTATCTTACAAAATATTAATTTCTGCGAGCGAAACCGCGGGGAAAAGCTAGTTTTAAATGAATGGATAATTTATTAAAATGTAACCAAAGAAGGGGGCACTTATTTNGATTTGTCCGTTTGTGGTCAATTCCAGTTACTACATAGAGTTCACTGTGCTTTTGTCATTCATAGATAATAACGTTAATAACTATCGTTCTATTATTTGAATTTTAAATTTAGTTAACCTATTTGTTTTTTACTTCATCTTTGTTATCTTACAAAATCATAAATAAAAACGTACCCTTTTGTAATATAAAAATGCTTTTTTAATTTTGCACATTTATTTTAAATATACATTCATTATGTTTACTCAGGTTTGTTAATTAAAAACGTTATAGTGTGTAGGATCCACATACAGTCAATCACAGATCATCTGTAAGAAATCTACAGTTTAGTGGTTTTTCAAGTTAACCCTTTTAAATAAAGTACTTTTACATGTAATTTAAAAATCCATCTACCTATTTATTAATCCGTTTAATACTTAAAAGTGGATGTGGTGAAGACTAGATAACTGAACTGGACAAAATTCAAATAGAAAACAAAATACAAATGGCTATAAGAGCGCAGTAGAAAGAAGTCGTTGTTAAATTAAAACAATTGTGGAAGTGCTTTAAACATTTTTAGACAATTTAAATATTTGTTTAAGTACACTCAAGATATTAACATCTGTTTAATCAACCATTTTTTAACCTCATAAAATGCCACCTAAATTGAAATTTCAAGAAGGTAAGCAAATAATTTCACAATAACCCTTATATACAGTAATTTATTGCTTATTTTAGGTGAAAAGGTGCTATGTTTTCATGGACCATTAATTTATGAAGCAAAATGTTTAAAGGCAACTGTTACAAAGGAAAAGCAGGTTAAATACTTCATACATTATGCAGGTTGGAACAAAAAGTAAGTTGTTCTGTTTCTATATATTATAAATACGTTGCTCAAATTAATAATTTCTGTTAATATGGATTTAATTTCCTGGATCATTAAGACCACAATTTTAAAAGTGTGAAATGCTTTATAAACATATTTAATTTCAAAAAGTTTCCCTTGGAATCTATCACCATGTTTACATTAAATTTGTAGTTACTAGTTGAATTTAGTACAAGTTCCATTTAGTGATTTTTTAAATAATTAATATGCACTGTTGTTTTTAAATGCTTTGGATGTATTTTATGTAATTAATTCATGGTGTTCATTAGTTGGGACGAATGGGTACCTGAAAGTCGTGTATTAAAATACAATGAGGCTAATGTGGCTCGCCAAAAAGAAGTACAAAAAGCCCATTCAACCAACTTATCATCCTCAAAAGCCAAGAAGAACAAAGCTCGTAAGATTGAAGCGAAAGAAGGCGATTCGAGGGCTAGCACCCCAGTAAACGAAGCTTCAAAAGCCGCCAAACAAAAACAACAAATCACTACACCTTCTAGTAGTCAAGACTCGAGTTCAGACGTTCCTAAAAAGAAACGAGGACGAGCAGATCAATCAGTAGAGTCTGAGGAACAGTTTCTCAGTAAAGTTGAAGTGAAAGTTAAAATTCCTGATGAATTAAAGCCATGGCTTGTCGACGACTGGGATATAATTACAAGACAAAGAAAACTGGCAAATCTCCCTGCCAAAATTACCATTGATGAAATTTTAGAAAATTACTTGTCGTATAAAAGATCAGCCAAAAATAATAACTCAAGTAAAGAATCAGCTGCTGTTGAAATCGTTAATGGTATAAAAGAATACTTCAATGTGATGTTAGGGACTCAGTTGTTGTACAAATTCGAGAGGCCACAGTATGCAGAGATATTACAAAATCATCCAGACACACCTATGTCTAAACTTTATGGCTCAGCCCACTTGCTGAGACTTTTTGTAAAGTTGGGATGCATGCTTGCATACACCCCTCTTGATGAACGTAGTATTCAACTTTTGTTGCAAAATATACAAGACTTTTTAAAATATCTGGTTAAAAATAGCGCCACTTTATTTAATTTACAGGAATATAGCAACCCACCTCCAGAATATCACCGAAAGGCTCTGTGATATGAGGAGGAGTTTGATTTTGAAGATGGTTGAATGTTAAAGCCTCTTTTTTGTTATATTCATGTACATTTTATATGTAAATATGTGAACTTATTTAGAATGAAGATGGAACTGATATTAATGCTTGTAAAAAAATTACGAAAATATGTAATTTTTAGGTATTTATAGCATGCAGCTATTGAACCAATCATGCTTGATCAATACAGTTTATAATTAAATTATTTGGTAATTACAAACCATTTATTGTACTTAACAACTCTGTACCGCATAGGCATTTGTATATCAAAATGGCTTTTGAAAAAAAAAAAGGAAAGTATTACCTCAAAAGGAAGCGTTTTATGCTAACAAAAACATATTAAATTTATACTAATACCTTCGTCAAAATTCGCAGTTGCATTACATTATATACAACCTAAAAGTAGGATTGTAAGTAACCTATTAGAAGCTAAGGGTAGATTATTCAATATGCTTATTTTTTTATGGTCTTTATCTTACAAGATATTGAGTTTTAAAGTCGAAAATATTTATTAAGCAAATTATAAGCAGTATTACAAAAATTAAATAGTTAACGATTTAAAAATACGATAAAATTGTGTAAATATTATTAAGTAAATGCAAGCTATTCACTGAGGTGGCAATATATACTTCTTCCAACTTTCAGGTGCATCTTCATCTGGTAATACCCAACCAACTGGTATCTTAGAACCCTCTGAATCCTCATGTTTTGTCAAAAAAGTGTCCCAACTTTTTCTAAAAATTGTATTGTAAATTTTAATTCAATTCGAAACTGATTGAGGAGTTAAAATCAAATTTAGGATTTTATCTTTGTGTTGTGGAATCTTAAAATTAGGTAAAAGACAATCCAAGTTTAAATTAAAAAATTATAAAACAAATTAAAGGACCCGTTTTACAATTTTATGGTATAGAACTCCGACTAAAGTACAGCCCAAATTTAAAATTTTTTTACAAAAATATTTTACATACCCTCCAAGTAATTCGATAAAGAAATGCCCATATTTACAAGGAAGGTTTTACTTTTTTATCTGTATATATGTGAAACTGTCTTTTTTTCCTATTTAATTCCAAGCAGGTAGCAAACATGAATACTATTTACCTTATTGCTATAAAAGTCTCTAAACTTTTATCAGCGCAAGTAAGACCCCAATATATTGGCGTCGGAATGACTTTAGGCCCAAATAAGGTAGTTTCCCATTCTTGAATAATTCTCCTCTCATTGGCTACCTGTGCAGCAATGGTGTCTTCAGCAGCACTTTGCTCTAACATACATCTTAATCCCTGTTCTTCTTTCATATACAATTTTAAGGAATCCTCCCATGTTTTGGTTAGTTGCTCTAAAATATAAAGCATAAGATGTGAATTAATTGTAATAAACTGATTGTGAATTTTTCAGTGTAGTTTAAGGTTTTCCAACTGTGATTTATTAGTTGTCTCACCTGCAGTTTTTGAAAAGGCCTGCCCATCTTCAGGTGAAACTTTCTGTCCTTGTTGTACAGCTACGCTTTCTCTAACAGATCGCAATTTAACGAGGGCTGAAATGAGGCTAAGTTGCTTACGAGCATCTGACTTTTTTTTGGTTACTTCTGCTAAAACACAATCTGCGTCTTTCTTCATGTTTTCATCCTGTAAAAATGAAATTAAAATATATAAGGTAGTGGAAACAATTAGAAGCAAACAATATTTAAATGGCGAATCTTAAAAGTATTTAAAAATGTAAACAAAAATAAAAAAGGGCGAAGCTAGAATTAAATCGAAGGTTCTATATGAGAAGTGAAGTAAATTATATTGGGAGAAGATAAATTATGTAAAATTTACAAGAAAAATGAAGAAGTCCTGGCATCTTATAGTTATAATAAAAAAGTCTTCAGACTTACTGCTTTGGTTCTTTCAACTTCTTCTTTTTTGCTTTCTAACCATTGGTCAATCTTTTTGTGCAATTTCTGTCTTTCTTCTGCTTCTTGTATGTCACTTTCTCTTTCCATTACTTTCCTACTTTTTTGATTAAGTCGCTTTTTTCTACGTTTGTGGACTCGGCTTTTCAAAAAAGCAATAGCCTCAGGATTTTCAAACTGTGATATGAACTTTGAAAAATGATCTTTTAATATCCCAATCTCCAAAGTTTTCTTTTTCCATTCTGAAGATGACATTGTTTCTGCATTTTCTTTCAAATTCTCCTGCATTCCTTGGAGCCTTTCAATTATAAGTAGACAACTTCGTAGAGATGATTTAGCAACATGAATTGGAATTTTTGGTGAAACTTTTACTTTAGCAGCAGTGTCTATAGTGTGAACCTGTTGGACATTTAAAACAGACTTGCCAATTTGTGATAACCATGTGTCTACCCACAACTGGTCTTCACTTTTGTTGGCAGTGGATTCTACTGTGTTAATTGGAGGATTTGGATAACTACTTGGGTAATTATTATAAACGGTGTAATTATTTGAAACAGTTGGTTCAGAAAATGCTTGTGTACCATAATTAACTAATGCACTTGAAAATGTTGAACTTGAAGTACTTGCCACACTGTTAATTTTATTATTTATGCTACTAGTAGAAGAGTAATAGTTATTTTCCATGGCAAAATAGTTATTTTAGATTTCAGTTGGTTGAGGTAATTGCAGTTTTGCCTCGTCTAAAACACTAACTGCACTATTGTATTCATCACTTTCTTTCAAATCTATTTCAGTGTCCAGAATGCCCTTCAATTCATCAAAAGCTTTCACAAGTTTTCTTTGACAATCTGGTACCATCATCAATGTTTCCTGTAAAACTTCCTCTTGTTTTTTAATATCATATTCGTCTTTGCCGTCTGCTTTATACTTTTCTATTCTGGCACGCTGTTGGTCGGCTTCTTTCTCATATGTAACTTTTTCCTTAGCTAACCTCTTGACAACACCTGTTTTAATTTTTAACGTTTTCAAACGGGGGTCTGACATATCAGTTCAATATATAAAATGATTCAATTTTTTTAATTACAAACTAACACTCATATGTGTAACTGTAAACGTTAGAAACAAATAAATTACAAAAAAAGCAATTTACACCTCATATTAAACTTTTGTCTTCTATAAATGAGTAATTCCATAGATTGTATAATGCATTACCATAGACATATATTTATGGACGTGCATTAGCCGTATGTCGTAATAACTCCTTGGCTCGAAAAATGAGGGAGATGGCATATGGTTTCGGGCTAGGCTTTCTCTTTCATTACACGCTTACGCACTATCGTGAAAGAAATGAATATTGTCCGAAACTTCCATCTCTTTCTTTTGTTGTACCACAATTCTGACCGCTAAGGCATATCCATTAGTATATGTCGATGATGATGATTATGACTATGACCTGTATTTCCCATAAACACAAACAGTAAACACAGATATCGACTGTGAATAGAACCTAAGATCCGGCGTATCAATATTCATCCATATTAGTCATAGATATTACTAAGTCGCATAGACCCATTGAAGTGGAGGGGAACTGTAGTCTAGTTCAATGCATAGACCTGTGCCACAAAGCTCTTTGTTGTCCTTGAGAAAAGTTTTATCTATGGAGAAGATTCGAATAATATAACCTAAGAATAAGACACACAAACATAACCTTTGCGTCCACTATAAAGAAATTTCGTTTAATTTATATTTAAAAAATAAATAAGACAAAACATTTCTTGGGGAGAACATTTTAACAAATTATTCTAATGAGGCGAAGATTGATTTGCATTTTGTGTTTATAACGATATGGAAGTTTTGAATCAGGTTCTAACAGCTACTTAACAAATTAAAAAAACAATGGATCATGAAAAGATTACATATTACAACGAGATATCGCTTATGATGTTTGGGTTTGGGGATAGTCATAAACCTAACCCGGAAACAGTTAGGCTGGTAGAAACTATAGTACTAAGTCAGTTAAAGCGAATTGTTCAAGAAGCCCTTAAATACTCTGAGGGAACCAATCTAAAGGGAGAAGAGTTAGTTTTTCTAATGAGAAAGAACAAGTGGAAAATGCGACGGTTCGTAAAATATTTACAAAATTCTATAATTAAAAATAAATTAGATAAACTAGATAAATTAATTACTTTTGAAGAAGAGCAGTCAAAGAAATCTAAAAATAATCTCTTAGAGTTTATTGAGAAATTAGATGAAACAGGCGAATTGACTGACTTGTCTGAGTTTGATGAAATAAAGTATGAGCGTCAATTGAGAGCAGACAGAATATCAGAGGCATTGGATGAAAAAAAATACATGGAATTTTATAAAGCTCGCTGTGCATCATTTAACAGTCGTGGGTTTTCTCACGCGCGCAATTCTGAAAAATTACGTCTGTGGATAGATCCAAAAAAAGAGATTACCTTTAGTTATAATGCACTGGATGTCCTGGCTTACTATGCATATGAAACTGTTGCCCAAATAACAGATTATGCATTGCTTGTGAGAATGGACATGCGAGCAACTGGTGATCCTCTGAAGCCCCTTTCTGGTGCTCATTATACAGCTGCAATGTTTAATGGTGAACATAGATTCACTGGAGCCAACCCTGATTATAGCCGAGTGTATACTGGGCAGCCACCTATAAGTGTAAATGAAATCAAAGAAGTTATGAGACGGGTCAATTCTCCGCAAGCAGGAAGGCTATATTTTGGAAGGAAATTGCCTGAAAGCCAATTTTTCTTTGCCATATAACTTGCTATTACATTTTTTAAGATTAATATATAATTAGAAAATATTCATATATGTCAAGGACAATTTAATTTCTTTATAATTGCACCAATAAATTTTTTATATGCTCTTATATTATGTCAACAGAATTACTTGGCAAAAATATACTTATACATTTAAAGAATATTTTTAGTATTCGTAAAATTTTCACTAAAACAAAATATAACAACATCATGCTTATTCATTCTTTTTTTTTTTAAGAAAATATAACGTTTTGCTTTTCATCAGAATTAGGTACATAAATCATGAGCAAATCAAATGTCCTTAATGGTTTGATTAATTTTTCAAAAGCTAAAAAGTTTAATATTGGTACAGGCAATATTTCTGATAAAATTTTAATGTAATACTTAAATCACTGATTATGAATAAAGCGACTATTTTTTACAGCTTATTAGTGCTCTTTTCTGTGTTTTATATTTTACTTTAAGTCTTAAAATTACGCAGATAGTACTTTAGAAACAAAAATTAGGTAAAATATCAGTATATAAAGCTGTATGAATTTTTTAAAAAGAGCTTGACAATGGATTAAATTTAGCACATTTTATTGAAACTGTTTTAACACAACTTTTTAAATCGAATAATGCTCTTAATATATCACGCACTTTTCAAGGAAAAAATGGGATCAGTTTATTTTGTTTTATAAGAGGGCATATTACCTTCTATATGTTTTCAAAATTAGCAAAAAGTTATTTCTCCTTGTAATTTAAAATAAATTAATTTTTACCAATTTACTACTTTTGTAATCTGGTTTGAAATAAATATATAAGCAGTATCTGAAAAGACCTCGATATTTAGATTTGATGGCCGTGGTCCAGAATTGATTCTCATTCTTCGACAATTTGACAGATGGAGCTGTTTCTTTGAAGCTTCGCTAACTGCTGTTGTTAAGACAGTCAGCATAAAGGGGAGGATTTTACGCTCCCCGAAGGAAAGGCAATTCTGGACCACGGTCACCTGCCGAATATTGAACCCTCTCCAGATAACGTTAGCCATAAAACCTTTTCATTAATTAAACAATAATTTATTTACTATTTATTATAATAAAACAATAAACAAACAGTACTTACATGTAAATGACGGTCCCAAATGACCAATGACTTTTCTACACCAGTGTCCATAAAAACGAGACTCAACTATGAATTCCCCCTTAAAAAGACAGCTAGTTATAAATTTTATGAGCAGATTATGCTTTTTTACTTTTCTTTACTTGGTTCCCACCGTAACAATTCAGTGAGAAGGCACGTATTTTATAAATATATTTACAAATCTGTATGTACAGCATCTCTTACGATATTAAAATGTATTAATAATTTACAATTGTTTAAAATTTAAATTTTACAAAACCCTGCGTATCTAATTAATTAATTAGTACATGAAACAATTATATACAAAATTAGGATACAATTACAAACTTAATAAAAAATATTTTCATAGACAACGATTCGAAATTTATTATTTTATTATTTATATTTATAGAGCAGAGTGGAGGTACTACAGTTCTTCCCCGGAAAATCTTTTAGGGCAGTGTGTAAACGGGTTGTTGTTGTTTTCGAAAGAGGGCGAGAAATGGGGGGGAGTGACACACAAAGACTTTGTCTCCCCCTTCGATAACCGCGTAGCGATATAGCTAGTTCAGCTTTTTAGTTGTTGTAGCAACCTTTTTGGGATTTATTTCTTCTGTATCAACAAATATCACAAATTGCACTTCCCATGCAAAAAATTTACTATAATCAAATGATGTAGTAACAGATGAGGCTTCGACCTGGTGGTAAATCAAGCCTGATGCTTGCGACGTACAGCCCAACTATCTCTAATGGAAAGTCTTCAGTTAAAGATACACTTTTCTGTCAATCGCTGTCAGAAACAACCTTTTTTCTTTTCTTGGCTTGTTTTGGCATCACAAAGTCTTCATCCTTGAAAAAAATTTTAATGAAATTTCGAAATATTCACACCAAAAAAAAAGTAGCAATAACTACATTTACCTATCCCCGACCTCTAAAGCTTATCAAAAACTAAAACATTCTTACTTAAACAACTTAAGTTTTGAATGATATAAAACTGTATACTATGGATCCCTTATTTTATGAAACTGTTGCCCAAATAACAGATTATGCATTGCTTGTGAGAATGGACATGCGAGCAACTGGTGATCCTCTGAAGCCCCTTTCTGGTGCTCATTATACAGCTGCAATGTTTAATGGTGAACATAGATTCACTGGAGCCAACCCTGATTATAGCCGAGTGTATACTGGGCAGCCACCTATAAGTGTAAATGAAATCAAAGAAGTTATGAGACGGGTCAATTCTCCGCAAGCAGGAAGGCTATATTTTGGAAGGAAATTGCCTGAAAGCCAATTTTTCTTTGCCATATAACTTGCTATTACATTTTTTAAGATTAATATATAATTAGAAAATATTCATATATGTCAAGGACAATTTAATTTCTTTATAATTGCACCAATAAATTTTTTATATGCTCTTATATTATGTCAACAGAATTACTTGGCAAAAATATACTTATACATTTAAAGAATATTTTTAGTATTCGTAAAATTTTCACTAAAACAAAATATAACAACATCATGCTTATTCATTCTTTTTTTTTTTAAGAAAATATAACGTTTTGCTTTTCATCAGAATTAGGTACATAAATCATGAGCAAATCAAATGTCCTTAATGGTTTGATTAATTTTTCAAAAGCTAAAAAGTTTAATATTGGTACAGGCAATATTTCTGATAAAATTTTAATGTAATACTTAAATCACTGATTATGAATAAAGCGACTATTTTTTACAGCTTATTAGTGCTCTTTTCTGTGTTTTATATTTTACTTTAAGTCTTAAAATTACGCAGATAGTACTTTAGAAACAAAAATTAGGTAAAATATCAGTATATAAAGCTGTATGAATTTTTTAAAAAGAGCTTGACAATGGATTAAATTTAGCACATTTTATTGAAACTGTTTTAACACAACTTTTTAAATCGAATAATGCTCTTAATATATCACGCACTTTTCAAGGAAAAAATGGGATCAGTTTATTTTGTTTTATAAGAGGGCATATTACCTTCTATATGTTTTCAAAATTAGCAAAAAGTTATTTCTCCTTGTAATTTAAAATAAATTAATTTTTACCAATTTACTACTTTTGTAATCTGGTTTGAAATAAATATATAAGCAGTATCTGAAAAGACCTCGATATTTAGATTTGATGGCCGTGGTCCAGAATTGATTCTCATTCTTCGACAATTTGACAGATGGAGCTGTTTCTTTGAAGCTTCGCTAACTGCTGTTGTTAAGACAGTCAGCATAAAGGGGAGGATTTTACGCTCCCCGAAGGAAAGGCAATTCTGGACCACGGTCACCTGCCGAATATTGAACCCTCTCCAGATAACGTTAGCCATAAAACCTTTTCATTAATTAAACAATAATTTATTTACTATTTATTATAATAAAACAATAAACAAACAGTACTTACATGTAAATGACGGTCCCAAATGACCAATGACTTTTCTACACCAGTGTCCATAAAAACGAGACTCAACTATGAATTCCCCCTTAAAAAGACAGCTAGTTATAAATTTTATGAGCAGATTATGCTTTTTTACTTTTCTTTACTTGGTTCCCACCGTAACAATTCAGTGAGAAGGCACGTATTTTATAAATATATTTACAAATCTGTATGTACAGCATCTCTTACGATATTAAAATGTATTAATAATTTACAATTGTTTAAAATTTAAATTTTACAAAACCCTGCGTATCTAATTAATTAATTAGTACATGAAACAATTATATACAAAATTAGGATACAATTACAAACTTAATAAAAAATATTTTCATAGACAACGATTCGAAATTTATTATTTTATTATTTATATTTATAGAGCAGAGTGGAGGTACTACAGTTCTTCCCCGGAAAATCTTTTAGGGCAGTGTGTAAACGGGTTGTTGTTGTTTTCGAAAGAGGGCGAGAAATGGGGGGGAGTGACACACAAAGACTTTGTCTCCCCCTTCGATAACCGCGTAGCGATATAGCTAGTTCAGCTTTTTAGTTGTTGTAGCAACCTTTTTGGGATTTATTTCTTCTGTATCAACAAATATCACAAATTGCACTTCCCATGCAAAAAATTTACTATAATCAAATGATGTAGTAACAGATGAGGCTTCGACCTGGTGGTAAATCAAGCCTGATGCTTGCGACGTACAGCCCAACTATCTCTAATGGAAAGTCTTCAGTTAAAGATACACTTTTCTGTCAATCGCTGTCAGAAACAACCTTTTTTCTTTTCTTGGCTTGTTTTGGCATCACAAAGTCTTCATCCTTGAAAAAAATTTTAATGAAATTTCGAAATATTCACACCAAAAAAAAAGTAGCAATAACTACATTTACCTATCCCCGACCTCTAAAGCTTATCAAAAACTAAAACATTCTTACTTAAACAACTTAAGTTTTGAATGATATAAAACTGTATACTATGGATCCCTTATTTTAAATGTACAGATCTTTATATAAGACAGCAGAAAATGGTGATTGTTTTTAAGTTGTAACTTCATTGAAACGCATTTTACTGATTTTTTTATTAATTTATCTTTATTATAAATATTAATTTAACAAGTAA